TTGAAAAAATGTTTTACAAGTATAAAACATGTGAGCGGTGTGACTATTCTGGGAAGGAAGATATGCAAATGTGATGTATATAAACTGCTGAGAGAGATGCAGAATCTTTTGTTCAAAACTCCTGTGCTGGATTTAATAGCAAGGCAGGCTCAGATCAAGACAATAGGTGTGACCACAATATCTAGATATTAGCATAGTGGCCATCACCCCGAGCAGGAAGTAAGGAAGTTCTTCCTATTCTCCTATAAGCTAATATCTTGGTTCAAAAATAGCATCAGGATGTATTTCCTTCTTGTTAGCTGACTTGCTGACCATTGACTATGCTGGGAGCCAGAGGTTTTAGTGAGTGAAAGGCTAGAGGTGCACTGCCCTTTCTCAAGAGATCAGAGACAAAAAAAGGGGAATCTAAGACCAAATGGCTGACAATGAGATTGTTTCCTGAGACTGCTAACAAGGGTACAACTGAGGCCACATCTACACTATGGTGGCAGTGCAACTGTGCTGCTGTAGCACCATAGCCTAGTGCAAGGTGGGCAATAAGACGGTGGTGGTTTGCCAGAGTTAATCCCTGACTGTATGTACCTGCACCTCCGCAGGTAAGGGCAATTGCAGCTCCTATTGGCCGCAAACCACCGTTCCTGGCCAATGGGAGCTGCGGGAAGCAGCGTGGAGATGCAGGTAAATAAAGCTGCAGCAGCCTGCTAGGGATTAACCCTGGTGAACTGGATCTGGCCCATCACTGGCCTAGACCAGTTGTTTTTATGTATCCTCTTGTGGTGGGGAGGCGGCCTGTAAAGCCAGCTGAAGACAATCATTGTTTACTTGTATAGAATTTCCCTAGGGTGGCCTTTGTTCGATTCCCTACCTCCTCTGTGGAAAAATACAAAATTCAAGATGGAATTTAGTATCAGGTAACACAGACCAGTGGGCTAACAGCCACCGCGGGCCCCAGGGCAAGAAGGGGTGGGGACAAGGGGCAGTCAGTACTTAATGCAACCCAGATCACGGCACATCCCGCCAGCCCTCAGAACTGTGCAGAGTGGTGCTTTGGCGACAATTCAGAGAGGCCCAGGACTCTGGCCACCATCACTGCAGTAGTGGTGGCCAGGAATTCCTGGCCCCTTTGATCTCCAGGCCCCAGGCAATTGCCCCCATTGGGTTGTCTGACAAGGACACATGTCTTTGCAGCAGTCTGCAGGAAGACAGTTCTCCCTGCTCATTTGTCTCTTGCTAATGGGCAATTAGCTCTTTGTCTGGCTTCTTCATTGCTGTTCCTCCTGGGTTAGAAATAGGCTTTTCCCAACATTAATACATTGATAATACATCTGCAGTCAATACTCCTAATTTCAGATACAGAAATAGTACATGCATGCAACTAGAATATACCCATTCAAGGGATTATAAACTTTCCAATGAAATGTTACATTAAATATTTTGCATACAGCATATTCAAGGGAGGCATATTCATGCTCCCATAAAGTATGTCACACCTAGCATGCTTGATATGCAAAGAAATAGAGGAGCTGCAGATCCACCTTATACACAGGGCAGGGCACCCAAACTGGTGTTAGGTACGGATTAGAAATCAGATGCTCTGATTATCTTGTCCTGACTGGAACATGCGTGGATTTGGTTTTGTTTTCCTTCCAAACCAGTTGCCCAACCTTAGCAAAATGTACGATGCTTGAAGAGATGTCTGGCAAAATGCTGTTTCAATGGGTTTTCAGCTGACAAAGACAAATCCACAGACAGACAGACACACAGAGATCCCATTTTTTTTCCCCTAACTGAATTGCAGTTGGGCAGTAGATTATTTCACTGCCAATAAAGACAATACTTTAAGAGCACTGATTGGATTTTTAAGAGGAAAGAGAATTAAATTTCTCTTTGAATTAGAGGAGCTAAAGATCATAGGGCTTCAAAGGGTGGAAACTGTGTTTGGGCTGTTGCAGGAAATGGCGAGTATTGTGGGTACGTCAACAAAGTACAAAAAGTGGTTCAGTGTCTCTCTTCCTTATACATAGTCATTCACATATACATATAAGGAACCGGTATAGAGGTTAAGTGCATGTTTTAGTTGCAAAATTATGATCTGAATAAAGATCCAGATTTTAAACCTCTTCCTGCTGCCTTGAATGTGCACAGAGATTCACATTTGGCATTCCAATGTGTTTAATCACAGGCCTATTAGGGTGCACTAGGAGGAGCATTGTCAGCAGCTCTAGTGAAGTGATTATTCTCCTTTATTGGGCACTAGTGAGGTCACATCTGGAATATTGCATTTAATTCTGGCTCCCTCCCCCCAATCTACGAATTAGGACCCTTCGCATACACTCACATTCTACCTGCTTACTGGGTTCAGTGCAGCTGTGACTTTTTTGCTAATGCGTCACTGGAGACCGTATTATTCACTTTCACAATACGAAAAGAAATATCAAATAAGAGGCATTTAGAAGATCCCAAGCATGAATTTGATCCTAAATTTAAAGTAACCAGTGTTAAAAGGGGTGCAGCCATAGATGAAAACTCACTTTGGCTACATCTAGACTACAAACCTCTTTCGAAAGAGAACGTCTAGACTGCAACCACATCTTTCGAAAAAGCGAGCTGCTTTTTTAAAAGGAGAGCACCCAGGCAGGCTGGAGCTCTCTTTCGAAAAAGCCCTTTTTTCATTCAAGAATGCACTTTCGAAAAAAGGTGTTCTTCCTCATAAAATGAGGTTTACTGCAGTCGAAAAAACCCTCTGTGTTCTTTTGATTTAATATCAAAAGGAGCAATGTTCTTAAGTTACAGTGGAGAAGGTTTGGGTTGGACATTAGGAAAAACTATTTCCCTAGGAGGGTGGTGAAGCACTGGAATGGGTTATCTAGAGAGGTGGTGGAATCTCCATCCCTAGAGATTTTTAAGTCTCGGCTTGACAAAGCCCTGGCTGGGTT